CCAGCGAAGATGGAATAAAGCAACGTTTACCTGGCTAACAACGGCGGCGACGCCTTTGTCTCGGAAACCCTGGGGATAATTAAAAACCAAGTAAAACCAAGCAGGCAGAATGCGCAGCAGTCGGTAAATTCGTTTGGAAAGGGACACAGAAGAGAGAAGATCGTATCTCGAATTTACACCCATCAGCCGCCACCTTGTTCCAGCCACCTTCATCCATCTACTTGCGTGTAACCAGTCGCCGGATCCTTGGCTCTCGATGATGTCCACGATACGCCGTTGCTCGACGCTGTAAAACCCGATGTTCGACAGCAGTTCGGCCATCGGGCTACACGTAAATATCCGGCGTGGAACGTGGATCCACCGGTATATCATCCAGCTTCCTTTCTTTTCGCTTGATCGCTGGAATTCGACGGCAAACGCGTTTTTCGTTCCATAAGATCTTTCCCAGCGATTCCTTAACCGATCTCGGCGTTCCTTCTTTTTCGGATGCTTTATGGACTATCGCGTGAAAATTGAAATTCAAGTTGGAAAGGTCCTCCGTCTTAGCTCTTGGCTCGTGCACCAGTGTGACGAGTTTATTAAAATGGTTGCTCGTTAAGATATTAGATATTAATGTTGGAGTTTTGTTATTTAGGTCCAAGAACAATTGATTTCTCAGCTTTTGTTCGATGACTTTAATACGTCGTTCAGGATTCTTTGAATTAATTAACAACTGAAACAGAATAAAAAATAAAATAATATAAAACTTACAATTTAAAATTATAGACTATATGTTTTGCAATTCCTATATCATTAGATATTTGTTTTTGAACATGGAAATTTAAGATTAAATTATATTTATGTCACTTCATATTTTCTCTCAATTTTCTTAATCATCTTATAAAGATATAAAATACAGAATATTTTTCCGGATATTTCTTTAAGATAAACATAAGACATATTAAAATAACTAATATAATGGATAATAACAAAGTAGATTAAATCATAATATAAAAGATTCGAGAAAAGCTCGAAAATCAGTGTTATTTTTCGTTTGAAAGTTCCATGCAGATTTCATGGTAGTGCGCAGTGGCTTATGGCTGAAGCAGTGCTATTTGTCATTAGAAGAGGATAGCGAGCCTCATTATCCGAATAATTAAAGCTTATTATATGATGTAGCAGTGCTCGTTATCTAACCGGTTTCGTCGATGCGTGTTGCAGATAAACTTATCTGCCGTGTAGGAGCGCTTGTAACGAATCAATTATATTACTTATGTAAGTGACGCGCGGTTTTCGCGCGTTCCACCACTTACGCGGTAAAACTAGCATTGAAACGCTTTATGCTGTCCTGATAAGCGACTATTCACATTAAAATGCGTGGAAAACGCGATCTACCCGACCAACTCTTATCTGTTGGTGGTCTCATGCTTACTGTTTTGCTTGGTTGTCAGCACTGGTGAATAGAAGTGAGACATTTACAATAAATCTATAATAAATTAATAAATTTTCATGATAAAATAAAATAATAATATAATAATATATAAAATATATAATATAAGTGAAAAATGTATCTTATCTTAAATTGATATTCATTCACACCTTAAATGGTATTCTTATCTTAAATTCATATTGCTTCATGATTGAATTAAAACCAGCATTAATCTGAATTAAATATTTATATTATAAAATTTCTAGACATCAGTTAATACTAAATATGTGAAAGATAAGAAAAAAAGAAATAACATTTTTTATACTTCAATAATCCATATACTTCACATTATGAAATTATTGAAATATCAGATCTTATACTAAATAACAAAATCATATGTACGAACAATCTTCTACCTATTTCAAGATGCATCAATTAATATGTCGAAAGATGGTTATCCAAATATTAGGATATTTAGGATTCAATCCGCAAGTTTCAGTTTAACAAAATTGTTGAACCGGTTCTTTCGTTCTCCATACCGAAATGATCATCTGAAGGTATTCAACCAATTTCCATTTCGCGTCACCATGCATTTATGTCTGAATACAAAGTGTAAGAAGAGATTTCCTAAAAAAAAAAAAATAATAATAAAAACAAAGAGAAAAAAAATAACAAAGATAGCAAAAAAACGACGGGAGAAAAAAGTGAAAAAAAGGTGGAGGAAGGGAAAAGGAAAACCGTTGGATTCTCCGTAAATCTTCCATGCGTGTAACTCTTCTGACGAGGAAGCCACAACGCTCTCGTTGCGCAGAGCGACCAGAGTTGTTTATGCTTTCCTGTGCAGCACTTTCTGAAATATGCAAATCTCGAATTCGCATAATGGCGTTATCGCAGTAGGATGCCGTTGTCGGCGACGACATCGAGATAGCTGAATCTGAGCAGGTCGAGCTCTTTCTTGACATCAAACAGCGACCGCCGACTCGACAGCCCCATTGATTTGTCTCTAAGAAGAAATATCTCGATGAGCTTTTCGTACAGTCACGATAAATATATGATCTGCGAATCTATTGGATGATCGCTATGGCTCACAACAATTCAACCATTCAGAAATCTTGGAAACTTTCAAGCCAAATCAATTGTTTGGATCAATTCATCGATAAAATAATGGATAACTTTCTGAAAAAATTCTTATTTCTTAAGATTTTATGAATTTATGAATTCCTTAAGATTTTCTTTTATCTTTCTTTTATTATTAATTGCTAAAATATTTTCTATATAATTAAATTGTAATAAGTTAAATATATCTAAAAATAAATTATGCTAATAAGTTTGTTTTTAATTCTTGTTATGGATTTCATTTATAAACTGTTTGAAGATATATATTATTATTTCGTAATGTAATTAATCTTCTTAATCCAAGTACTCGGAATCCACGTTTTTTTGTAACGATCTAAATCACAGAAAATTATATCGATCCATGACATGCAAGCCTTAAAATGTAGCATTCATTTACATAATCAGTCTATTGGTGGTCTTGTATTTACCAAATACATAAAATTTTCAAATTAACTTGATAATTTTTTTATGAATAAATAAAGATAACGACATTTTGTATAGAAAAGATTTCATTAGCAAAGATATAAGAATTGATAAGAAGAAATTTAATCTATTATTTTACATACTCAAAAATTCTAAAAATATTTCTCTGTTAAATAAATAAATATTTTTTTATTGCTCATAAAAAAGATTAAAAGAAAAATAACCATTTTAAATAGATTTATCTTGCATAAATTATTCATATATTTGCTAACATGAAAAAGAATGAGAATACGAAAGAATAAGAAAATAAATGAAATGACAGAAAAGAAATGACAGACATATCAAATTACTAGATAAAAAATAAATATTTATAGCAAATAATTTAAGAAACAAATAAAAAATTGAACAAACCTTTATTTATTATGTTCAAACTTTGACTCAAACGGTTAAATCCGATTTATTTATTTCGAGCAATACAAAAAGAAAAATATTCAGGAAGAGACACAAGCAAAGCATCAGGAAGGAAGAAGGAGCAACGTGCGCTGAAACGTATCCATGGTTTATTATTATTTTATTCGGATGTTCTTCGTCGCGTTATACCCCATAACCTACCCTCTTCCCTACACCTTTTCCTGTGGCACCGTCTACATCTCCCTACCATAGAACCACCACCATACTTCTGATTCTCCCCCACCGTGGAGAGAGTGGAACCACCCCTTGATGTTCCATGTTCGCTTCGTGGCAGTCAACTCGTAATCCCCCTTCGCAAGGTTCTTAACAGGCAAGGCAGGACGCAACCAAGTACGCGACAGGGACGTTAAAATTTAAGGTTTCCGTCGACACATTGCGACCCATAAATTTTCTCATTCGAAACCGCTGCTCTTTCCTTCGGTCACGCTTGACAAATAACACCAACAGCATTCTCGCGAAAAATTCACTAAAAACCGTTTCGCTACTTATTTTTTTCGAGATCAATCGAGAACGAGTCATACTTGTACTTATTTTACTTGCGAGTAATCGATTAAATAGATCGATACTATACGTACTAATTAGTTGTATCGATGATGTTTTCTATTATAATATTAATTTAATGAAGTTCACTAAAAATCGTTTCGCCATTTATTTTTTTCGAGATCAATCGAGAACAAGTCAATACTTGTGTTTCACTTGTGTAATCGATTGAATAGATCGATATTATATGTACTATTTAGTTGTGTCGATAATATTTTCTGTTATAATATTAATTTAGTGAGGTTATGTGATTCGAATGACAAAAATGTGTAATATGGCAAGTGTTTTAGAATAAAAAAATAGTTGTAGCAATATAAGAAACAAATTTAAAAATACTTTCTGATATTTTTTGCATTTGATATATATATGTTCAGTTAACTATATTCACAATGACAATTTACATTCAGACAGTGTTTTCATTGAAATATTCATTGGTTGGTATTGAATATATCATTGGTTGATTTAGATTCTAAACATTACTATAAAAATATTTTGTTATTATTAAAAAATGTATAAGATATATTTAATAAACAAATTTACAACAAACATCAATAAAAGATTTTAAAAATAAAAATAAACAGCTCAATTTATAACTAAAATATGTATACATATATTTTTCAAATTCTTCAGTGATTTTCTTGATGTTCCTTGTTTTTTGTTTTGTTTTGTAAAAAAATTTTAAAATTCTATTGCCTTTTGGACTGAATAAGATTTTCTTTTAAATCTTCTTTGTATCTTGTTTATTTTATAATTTTAAATAATATTAATTATTCAGATTCAAAATATTAAATTTTTAATTTATATAATAATTTTAATTTATATAATAATCAATATCAATAAATGATACTGGCAAATATTTATTATTCGACAAAATAGTAATAATAATAGTAATAGTAGTCATTTTTGTTTTTTATGTTTCATACATTTTATTATTATATTTTAATTATATTTATAATTAAAAATAAAATACAAATTTTATACAAATTAAGAATTAAATAAATTGTTGTAAGTAAAAAAAATTCAAATTTAAAATTGAAAATATCTTGAAAGATAATTTTTTATGTTATTATAAGTAAAATATAAATAAATATTCATCTTATATAATATGATGATCAATTTATCAATATTGCACAACGAATATTTTTAAGTTCATTGTAATACGTATTTTTTTTATATTTATCTTTTTAAATGTATGCTAATTTATATATCTATTTATTATTTTTATATATCATATAAAGAAAATTATAAAATTATAAATATATATTTGTATATATTATATATTTGCAAAATTTTAACAAATTTTAAAATAGTTTGTAACTTTTTATAGATATTTTTTAATCTTTTATGGAAGTCAAATTTAATATATGTAATATATTGTATTTACAATATATTATAGAATGTATATAGATTCATTTTTATTTTGAAAAATGAAAGTGACATGTGCTGCTATCTATAGATTATTCTTTAAACATGAAAGCTATTTAACGAATTGTATTTAATTATCGATAGTAGATAACAGATAGTTTTTAAAACTTCGATAAATTTTAAATATTTCAATCTTAAATACATTTTTAATAAATAATCATCATTTAAATTTCTGGAAAATATAAAAAACAAAAACAACATTGTTCATATTCTCAACCATTTATTTTTTTCTTTTTTCTCTATTGTAACTAAAACGTTAAACAAAACCATTTGTTTTCTATTTATATAAATTTCAGCATGAAAAATAGTTTGAAAGTATCACAATTAACAAGTACTAAAAAATTATAGAAAAATTTATTTGATAATTAATTTTTTCGATTAAAAATTTTGAGCAATTACCAAAACGAATAATCGTATCAGAAAGTAATATATAATCCATTAAAATGATTTTTTCCTCATAAAAAATTACCGTTCATCTTTCAATAAATATGCTATAAAAAATAATATGCGCGGTTACTCAGTCTCTTTCAAATTTTTTTTTTTCGACATTCGTACATTTATTACCGTCTGTTATAGTTTACATTTTGTAATCTTTGGAAATAGATTCTCGAAAGAAATTTATTTCATTATACTTTATATATCCATAAAATGAAATTTGTTTATTTTACTGAGCAATCGCATTATATATGATCTTAATAAATTTTATTATATATTATTATAAGTTTAACGTAACCTCAAATTCAATACAAAATGTGGTATTAGATTAAAATATATATATATATATAATAATTAAGTACACAATCAAGCATAACATTTTTAATTAAAGTTATAGAGAAATTTAATGAATTTATCGATTTAAAAAATATAATAAAAATATTTTTTATATAAAAATTTCTGTTCCAGAATCTTTTCCTACAAAAATATTATTATTGAGAAATTATTTTATGTTTAATTTTCCACAAAGCCTCGGAATTTCCTCGGAAATTTTTTGTGATGCATTTTATTCCATAACAAAGTGTAGTATACGAAATATGCTCTGATTCTATCATGTTTTCATTATTGGAGTGAAGAAAAATAATTTGCAAGGAATTGATTTATAAATGCTCCTTGTGTCCCCCAATATGTTGAACAAAAGGAGCTTAATAATTTACAGAGACTATAAAAATAATGTCTACTATTCCAAAGGTTTTCTTCTTCTTCTTCTTTTTTTTTTTTTTTTTTTAAAAAATTTTAAAATTTTTTTTTTTTTTTTTTTTTTTAAAAAATTTTAAAATTTTTTTTTTTTTTTTTTTTTTTAAAAAATTTTAAAATTTTTTTTTTTTTTTTTTTTTTTACAAAAGTTTACATAATTCTTATTGTGCCCGTCACGTGTGTCTATAACGTTTTCTACTTGTTTACTACGATATTCATAAGTAAGCAACAATAACGAGACTAATACTGTTTGCTTGAAAATCGATATACGACGAGTACTACTCGTCGTTTTATATATGCACGCAATTATTCATACATTATAACTTGAAGATTATTCATTACGCAGACATTTTTAAATATGTATACATTCGGTATGTGTGATTTATACTTATTCAAAACTTTGAAACATTCGATCCTAACATATTTGATTTGAGCAGTTTGATTTAAGAATTTGAGAGATTGAAACTTTTCAGTTAAACTGTTTTAAATGTTTTAAATGTTTTAAACAAAAATTTAATGATTTAAAAATATTATTATTTAAAAATTCATTCGAATGTTTCAACAGTTTACATCAAATCTTTCATTTAAACATTATGTAAATATTTTTTATTATTTTTGCATGTATTCATTTTTTAATTATGCTTACTTATATTTTGAAATACAGATTTTATATGTAAAATTATTTATTGCACGTATTGTCCATTAAAATTAATATTTGAAAAATTATTTTTGTTTTCATTAATATGATTTTATTTAATTTTTTTTTGTTTTCATTATGTTATATTGTTTCAATATGATTTCAATTTAATATTATAATTTTTTTGCTTATATATTAAAGAATAAGAATTGGGGTTTCTTTATTTTAATAATATTTCTTCAGTTGACTTCTGTAAAATTTTTTAATTATAGACAGCTTCAAAACACTTTCTATCACAGATAATAAACATTTATTTGGTGTAATGAATCAAAGTGCTTTCAATAACAACAGTATTCAAATTATATATAATATAAAATATTTCTCAAAATAAAGAAAATAATAGTAATACATCTCCAATTATCTAAATTAAAAGTTGAACAGCAAAAAAAATATGAATAACAAAGTGAAGAAATTTTTGTACATAATATAAAATGAAATTCTAATTAATTTTTGCAAAAAATATTCATAATACTTTTTTTTGGAATAAGACTCAAAATTAAATTATAATTGATTTAAATCTTTTACCTTACTTTGACTCTATCTTGATCAAATTAGAGAACAATGTTCTTATAATTAGAATGTAATAGAAATACAACTTTTTTAATAGTATCAAAAGAACTTTTGTCTCTACATTATCAATATAAAGTTTCTTACTGTTAATATATAATCTGTAAACAGTATCTTGAACATGACAAATATTGGAATATATATGTATATATACAAAATATATGTACATTTTTATATTATACACATCATACTATATCATCATTTATATCTTTGTTAATATATATGTATGAAAATTATTAAGTTAAATAAAAATAGAATGCAATTTACAAATTAAAAATAATATGAAATAGAAAATACAAATACAGAAAATATAAATAATAATATTAAGAACATGAAGGAAATATCAATATCAAATAAGTGAAATTCTATTTTTTATGCAAATAACAAAGATATAACTGATGAATTCAAATTTATACATGTCGATAATTTATACATGCACACCACCATCATGTGAATAATATTTTACAGTATGATGTACATATATGTTTGATAAAGAATATCATTTTTTTTACATTCTATTCTACAAAACTGACTCTACAATAATGTTTACAACTTCTTCAATATAACCCCTTGTATTTTAAAAAAAAAAAGAACTGGAGATGTATCGATCCAGATTTTCGTTTTTGTGTTCTCGAGAACACGTGTCAAAAATTATTACACGTGATCGGCACGTTACGGACACCATTCGAGAAAACCACGTATTAATCCTATTGATTCTGGATGTATCAGATAATAAGATTGTGGATGGAATGTTTTCGTTAGTCTTATAATTACTTAAATTTCCGCTTATAAGAACCACAAGGCAAAATTTTGCAAGAATGCGAACTTTCTTGTGCGAGTTCGCCGGAGGGCACCATTGTACGCACCATCCAAGATATATTTCAAACTCATAGAAATTGAAGAGAATAGCAATGAGATTCATTCATTAATACTGGACATCAAATTATTAATAATACTTATTTTAGATATTATTACGCAATACTACAACACGCAAAAAAAAAAGTTTAACATTTGATATGATCATTTTGAGAGTATGAGAATTAGAAAAAGAAATGAAAAACTAAACAACTTAAATTATTAAATCATCGTTAAGCGAAAAAAAATCAAATTAATAAAATACAAGATTTGTTTCATTATGAACATGATGCATTATTTCATTAACATGGAAACTTCATAAAGCTGTGCTTTCTATAGGTGACGTAGCTCGATTAGGAGTGCAACATCGTTCAGGAGTATGGCACAAATCCGGTGTATGCCTACCGTCTCTTAAATGAACAAACTCTAAATCTGCAAAAAAATTACTTCTCATGGTACCAACTGCACTATCAGAACCAAAACTATCCTGTCTGCATAAATCCACATTTTTATAACATCCTGTGTATTCTGTCAAAGAATTAGGCAATTTTCCATCATATACAGGTATCGTTTCGATTACTGTTTTCTTAGAGTCATTAGACTTGAATTTAGTACAATCTTGGGTGGATAAGGTACAGTCTTTTTCATTATCTATATTAGTCTCATTTCGTATGTTATAAGAAAGA